AGGCAGATCTCTACGCATGTTGCTCCTCTTCCGCCATGACGCTGAAAGCAACAAGTAGTGGAATAAGATGGTAGTTTGAATATCACGGGCAGATTTCTCAAAGGGTGTTTTGGGCTAAATCCCTGGCTGGGAAGCATCTCTGGGCTTCAGCATAGCTAAGGAGCGGGTCGACAAAGTGCATTTATTTGCTTAGTATCAGAGCTCCCAAACTTCTCAGGCAACGCTACCTGACTCAGATGTTCCCTGTACCAGCCGTCTGCCTCTTCCCTCCTCTACTGACAAGCTCAGCCCTCCTTCTGGAAGCTCAGCTGTAGGCTGCTACTTCTCCACACCCTCTCTGCATAAGAGATGAGTTACTGAGGTCCCATGCTGAGCTGTCCTGCTGCCTGTCTCACATGCAGCTGTGCACTCTCCCACCTACGGGGAGCTAGGTGCACTCCAAGTCCCACAGCACGTCAGTCTGCGAGCAACTACAGAGTCCAAGCTTAGTGTGTACGCAGCGGGAAGGCAAGCAGAAGTGGGCCCTGACTTCAGCGTGTTAGCATCTGTGGGAGTCTGTGGTGGGGTTGCCAAGAAATGAGAGGGCGGTGAGCCAAGGCTGAGTGGTTTAAGCTTGAAGTAGCAGCCTGCACGTCACCTGTACCACCGAGACAGGGGAAACGGCAGATGGAGATTCAAACACTGACAATCCTAAGCAAAGACGACATGAAACAACACCAGACCCTCTGGGCTTCCTCTGGGGAGCCATTCGATTAGATAGACACATAGATTGATTTGCTCTGGCTTCTGCTGAAGTCACCTACCTTCACCACAGTTACCATGCCTTCGTTGGTGATGGGGTCCGTCCGGATGGTGAAGTGACCAGAGGGGTCTCCGCTGATGATGCGGTACACGGCGTTCCAGTTGGGCGAGTGGGGCTGGTCCCGGTCCATCACCGTCAAATTTGCGACTACAACTTCCACGCGGTTTTCGGGCACCTCCCCCGAATACTGCAAATGAAAGAGAAGAGCTAATATTCTTCATGAGCTCTGAAGACTTTAGGGACAAGTCACTAGCTGGCATTGAAGTCAGCCTAATGAACAGGGCCTCAGGGCTCCAGGAAGGTACTCACAAGTAAAATCCAAGCTATAAGTACATTCAGGTACTGCCTGCATCCCTTCATCACATGTGGTTTTAATCCCAGGTCCTCCTCTTTAAATGATTTCCTCTCCCCTGATGCTGTCTGAAAGACCCACACCACCAAAGGAAGCTGCAACTAACTTTTTCTGAACATTAAAGGAGAGTACAAATTCTATGAGCTAACACTTGAGAACAAATTTGGAATAAATTTTAAACTGAAAAACAGGGAAGAGTAGGAAATAATGAGGTTGTTATTATGCAGAGAACTGAGGAAAAAGAGGGAATGAATTATTAGATAGAAAGGAAGGAACAAAAAAGCTTAACAACTGAAACATAAAGGAACAGTCAGAGACTGAAAGGAAGAGAAGAAAAGAACAGAAGACTCCTGTGGACAGTGACTTAAGGGAGCTCTGTTGATAGAAGATAAATACCTGTTTTTATGTATATTTTAGAAGATGGGAGGCATCTTTAAATGTAACATTTGTTATTTGATCAATGGGATTCATTAATACCTAAAGCTGACCCCCCACCCTGAAACTCACCGACCTCCAGAAGAAACTGACAAAGTGTCATCAAAACCAGACATTCAACAACCTGAAGTAACAGCCAATGCCTTCTACCTGCTAATTTCTTTCAGTCATAACAACCTGAACTGGTAATTGTAACAACCACAGGTGAAAAATTCGGCCCCTTAATATTAGATGTCTTGGGTTACCCAGTTTTCCCAAAATGCAATCTTATTGCTTCTTCAGAGACGTTACCGAATTTTTTCTCTTTCTGCTTTTGCCTTTGCCTGATTTGTCAAAGCTTTTCTGGTCGTTTTGCCTGGGCCTTTCCTGGTAGTTAATTCTAGTGGGTTGCATGCAACTCGTCCCGTTTTTGTACCTTATAGCACATGAGCCGCATTTCTCTCTATGTGCCACTTGATTTATCATATATAAGACCAAAGATCTTGCACAGTTAATATTTTCCACTTTAATGGCCTAAAAGCTCTCATCTGTTCTCAGTGGGGGCAGGTGACAGAACAAGGAGCAATAGTCTCAAGTTACAGCAAGCGAAGTTTAGGTTGGATATTAGGAAACATTTTCTCACTAGGAAGGTGGTGAAGCACTGGAACGGGTTACCTGGAGAGGCGGTGGACTCTCCATCCTTGGAAGTTTTTAAGGCCCGGCTGAACAAAGCCTTGGCTGGGATGATGTAGTTGGGCCGGGGGTTGGACCAGATGCGACCTCCTGACGTCCCTTCCAACCCTCATTTTCTATGATTTAGGTGCATAACTGGAGTTGCCAATTTTTCAAAAGTGCTCACCCTCCAAAAGCTCCCATTACCATTTGCAAAACACCATTTAGATTGGCACAAGGCAAATGAAACCCTGGGAAAACAATGAGTTCTACTGGCCCCGTTCCAAATTGGAAATTCTGCCCCAAACTGTGGTCACAAACCACTTCTGAAAACCAAGCTTGCAACATGCATAAAAGCAGAAGTGTGCTGATTATAAGGAATGACTATTTTATTGTTCAGCTCAAGAGCTCTTGTAAAGAACTATTGTGCTACCTGCTACCATGCTTTGGACACTTATCTCTACCAATACTTGCAACCAGCATATATTACGTCACGTCTGACAGCAAAAATATCTTATTTGCCATATGCTATTCTACATTTAGTTTTGCCCTCTAGTAGTGCCTTTAATGGTATGTTGCTCAATTTTTTCTTTTGCACCTGTCCTAAGTAAATTTTCATTAGCAAATACAGACAGTGCCTTGTCCTGGGTCTGTCAGGTAGAGGAGAAGAACAGTGGGACGCCTCTAAATAATTTGAGCTCCAATACATATGGCACCTCTTTCACTTCCTTTGGTTTCCCACCCTATCCTATGGATCTTCATCCATTCTCACGCCCAATTGGGAACCTCTGCAGCATGCAGTTTGAGCGGAGGAACATCAAATGGAAATTTATCAAAAGCCTTTTGAAAAATCCATTAGATTATGTCATGTGCACACTTCTATTATCAATCTTGTCAGCAGCCTGCTCCGAAGAACTCAAGGAGATTAGTTAAGCAGGATTGTCTCTTACTAAATCCGCCCTGGTTATCATCTCCCATTGGATTAGATTAACGTTGCACTGCATGCCAGGGATGACAAGTTGATGGGCCCTGCGTTTGCTTGGGCAGCTGAATGCACTGTTTAAAATCAAGGGATCGTGTACTTTCAATGGAGCAAAATGTAGCAGTGCCCACATCTCAAATCATGGCAGTTAAGAGAAATGTAAAAAGTGACCTCACGATGGTCCTAAAGCAATTACTCAACATCCATTTTGGGGCTGACTCCATTCCCCTGTAGCCTTTGGTGAGAGACTGAATATGCAATGATGGAGAATCCCAAAATTTGGTCTATTATGGGATTTACTACTTGTAAAATCAAACAGGATACACTCATTTGAAGCAAATCATCAATGCAACTTTTACAAAATAAAAGGGAGAGGCTGAACAGTTATTATTCTCAATGGTCACATCCTACATGCTCCCATCCCATGTGGTCCTTTGTGCAAAGACCCTAGGGAATTTAACAGGGATGAAGCCAACAGAGCTGTATAGAAATTGCTGTACCAGCCCATAACATTATTGAGAGAACAGCATCTTTTCCAAAGGCTTATTTTTGGGCCCACAAAATTCTGTAGGAGTGATTTTTTTTTCTTGAACATAATACCTGATTGGGAGGTTGCAGCTCTCTCTCTACAAGACTTTTCCATAACAGTGGGTGTCAGTGCTGTTAAATGCAAAGCATCTTTGAAGATGTTATCCCTTCTATTCGTTTGGAGTTGATGGCTATCAGCCCCATTCAGGCAGCATTCAGCACCAGCCAGGATTGAGGGGCTTCAGTTGAAGTTGATCTATAGGGACAGATCCTCAGCTGGCACGTATTGGAGGTGTTACTGGAAGGACAGAGGTTTGAGTGATTCCAATCTAATTTCATGCAACTTCCTCCCCACCTTGACGTAATTGAGAAGGATGAGCAATGCCCTGTCTTACTGTGCTGTCTGCATGCAGCATGTATGCCACAAGTGGCATGCATGGGCAGCCTCTTATGTGTGGTATGTGCTGCAGCAGATTGGGAGGGGCAGCCAGCACAGCCACAGGTAGGACGGGGAGCAGAAGGCAGAGAAGTAGATCAGACAGGAAGCAGACAGCAGAGCAGCAGATTGGGCAGGGGACGGAAATCAGATTGATAATTGGTGGGAGGGCAGGGGGTTAATTTGTGGCATCCCTGCCAAAAAGGTTGGCCCTCCACTGCATTGTTTCCTTCCATAGAAGTGCAACGTAGAAGTGCAAGGGGGGGTTTAAATAAAGAGACACGTGTCTACTTTAATACTAAGACAATAGGGAAGCAGTGGTGGCTGCTGGAGTAAAGAAGAAGAATGATAAAGCTGCGCCTGCCCTTTCTTGCTACATTTTTCCTGGATGCATCTTCAGTTTATTTAGCTTCATTTGCTATTGCTGCATTACAATTTTTTTCACTCTCTTCATTTTGTTTTAATCCTCTGCTAGTAATTTTGTGGCTGACTGCTATTCAGGCTTGGTTTGCATTCTGAGATATAGACTCGCTCTGCCTAGCTACCATTATTTCTTAAACTTGGCCTATTCATCTTGAATTACATCGGTTCCAGGTTTTATTTTGGTACGGGTACATTTGTGAAAGTTCCTCTTTCATTCCTCCAGAGCTGGCCTGTCTGAACTCATATGCTACTGAAACGTAATAATTCATTTTGATTGCCAGGTTGCATCAGATTATAGTGAAGTCATTTAACCCTAGAGGTTAATTTTGTCTTGCTCAGTACTTGACAGCACAAATATATAAGCATCACTCAAAAGAAGAAAGGAAATAAGCGGGGGAAATAAGTTCACAAGATGACTTTGCATGTGCTAAATCTATAGCCTGAGCTGTAAAGACAAACACAATGAAGTAAAACCCATTAGTTTACTACAGCCACTCCCAGTGGGTGATGAATTGAGATGGATGAATAGGAAGAAAATTATTCAGGTTCATTTTGATGACTTTTAAATACAATTTAATTTCTTCCATTGCTCATATCCCCTATCTGACTTTTATGAATATCTGTGACACCAAAGTTTTGCTTGTATGAAGTTTTGCAAGGTGAAGTTTTGGTTTATAAGCAAAGATTTTTCTAATTATTACAAAAAAATAAATAGTTTAGGCCGGTGCAGTTTATACTGAAATGACATCTTATGAAATAGGTGAGCAATCATACAGCTTGAATATTGAATGACACCACTGAATACTTAAGGGAAAACTCCTACTGAAGAGTTTATGATTAGATCAGAGGTTGGTATTTTTCACACACAATATTTAGCAAAAAAGGCTGTATAGTAGACAAATTAATGACCCCCATCTGTTTGCAGACAATTTGTCTAAAAGAAAACGACTAAATTCTTTTAATAAATCATGAATTGTGATAGATTTGTCTAACTGCAGCCTTGAAACCAGCAAAAGCCATCCTAATTGATTTCCTTAAATTCCATTTTTGTACCCCGGTATTTCTACTGAAAGGGCCTAAATAAGTCGCCTGTATCTCAGAAAAGCCCAAGAGGTGTAAAACAACTCCACACTGTACTCTGTGCATCTGCCAACTTGATGTGTAGATCAATAATACTCTAATTTTTTTTTCTCTTTCTACTTCTACTACCAGTAATTTTGCTTCTCTTCCTAGCAGCCTAATTGCTGTTTCCTTAAGCCTTGCCATCAATTCTATGACCTTTAATTTCCAATATCATTTGCTCAAAGATGACTGCTCTAGGTTCGCTAGTTATCCTATCCAACTGTATGGGCCAGATTTCTATGACAACATAAATCTAAA